TGGAGATATAAAACTAGGCCGCCTATATGTAAAATTTTATTAGAAACAATTTTACTTAGGCAGCCAGAATAGGTTTAATTAGTAAAATATTGAGAAAAATGCAATTGTTTTTAGAAAAAACTTGGTATAAGTGATCGTTGAGAAGAGTTAGTGATTTTGATCCTGAGTATTTTTTAAATATATAGTTGATTAGAGGGTTATAGTATATTTGCTATAAAAGAGGTATTATAGTCTCCTCTTGGTCTATACCATCTTGTACTGTGTAAGGAGGAGTAAGGTCTAGGTTAGTAATTATTTGGTTAGATTGGTTATGTAGTAGGTTTGTAATAATATTTATGAGTTGAGATGGTATGTAAAGTTGCTGTAATGCTCTAGTAAGAAGGTTTATGTTTACTGAGTTGTAGGCTTTACTCATGTCTTGCGACAGGATCCATATTTGTTTTTTACTACAGTTGGCGTTTTCTAGAAAGTTGTTGAGGATATGTATAGGGTGATTAGTTGAGTTGCCAAAAAGAGCACATAGTTATGAGAATTAAATATGGAATAGGTTGTAAGAACTCGTGTTAAATGGTTGGTGAGAATTTTAGTATATAATTTTTTGGTGTGTTTAATAAGACTAATTGGACGGGTATAGTTAAGGTTATTATCAAATTGAGGTTTTTTAGATATAGAGTAGATTCTGCTGTTTTTTCACTGTTTTGGAATATTTTGTGTGAGAATGCATCTGTTGAGGAGTGCTGTAAGAGCTGATAACATGTTTGGTTCAGTATGTTTGATTATTTCATAACTGATACCAGATGGGCCACATGCTTTATTATTTGGGAGTTGTTGTATTGTTTGTAGTACTTCTTCAGTACTGATCTTTGTAAGTATAGGTGTATACTAGTTTGAATCAATATCAGAATTAGGTTGATATTCTGCTTGCCAATCTTTGTTAAATATAGCTTCATTGTATGGGTGATGAGATGTTTAGTCATTGAAATGATTGCTAATATATTGTTGATTTCTGTAGAATTAGTGATAATGGCAGTGTTAGTTTTAATGTTATATAGTTTTACTATATTCTTATGTCTGTTAAGTATACTATTAATCATTTTAGTTGGTTGGTTGGTTAGTTGTTTATATCTGTTATTAATAGCAGTGTTGATATGTTTACAGAGTTTTTGAGCATTTTCCAGATTCCTGGCATTGTATAAGGTTTTCCAATAGGATTTGGTATTTCATGTCTATGTTGTTAACTCAGATTGATCACAGGAAGTGAATTAATAGAGAAGTTATGTTTAGTATTTATATTATCTATTAAACTATGTATATTATTTGGTAGTGAAATGTTGTTTGAGAAGTATTTTTTAACATAGTAGATAATATGTTCGATTGTTTTGAGATCTTTGTATAGCTAAGTAGCTTTGAGAGTGAATATATGATGCAGATTTTTTATAGTATACTTTCTGTTAGGAATGTATTGAAGTGCAGCTATAATGATACATGTATTGATTTTGTGCCAAGTTTTTTCTAGACTTTCTGTTGTATTGGTTGTTGTTGGGATCTGATGCTAGATCATGTTGGAGTTAATTTGGTCAATAAAGGTTTTTCAATTTTCTTTACTTATTGACTTATAGTTAAATACTCTTCTTTTGTATTTGTTTTTGTGTTGTGTTTTTGATAGGCGAATGGAAAAATCTATTTAGAAATTAGAATTTGGTGATCGCTGTCTGTAGAGGAGAACATATCAGCAGATCGGTGTAATTGGGCCATCCAAACATATCCCAAAAAATTGATATTACCATATAAACTGTTGATATGATTCGTTAACCAATTACAAACACCCCTCAAAATATAATTTCAAATATCGTTAAAACATAATTAACATAATAGATTATATATAAAACCAATCTTCCAACTCAAAAGCCAATCTTTCATATACAATATAAAAAGACAAAATTACAGTTATTATTTTAATTAATGTTCTGCTATAAGGTTTTATAACTTTTTTATTTAAAATCTTATTTTATTTCAAATAGATCTATACTACTTATTTCTCTGTCATGATTAATTTTACTTGCACTCTCTGCTCACATAAAACTTTCAAGAATAAACGTAGACTTCAATATCATAAGATGCGTATACATTTTCCAAAAAATGTAATATCAGTCTCTGCAGAAACAAACACTTGTGTTTTTTGTATGCTATGTCCTCGCAAGTCCTTTAAGAATAAATGAGGCCTTATTTGTCATAAATGTGTAGTGCATAGTTCTTACAATATTTCCCGAGCTGGTGTTGTAATATTACCTCAAGAGGCTATCAATGAGTTTAAACAAACCTTAGTGTATATGATCTAACGGCAATTATCAAATAATAGTAGTTCTGCTGAGTTACAATGTGTTACCATACTTTATATGGAAAGTCAGTTTATTAGGGTTTTTGGCAGGCATATAACACAGCATGCTTTTACTCGGCAAACTTATGAATATGTTTTTACTGGAAAGGATGCATATGATACATTATATTATATCTTAGGTGATAGAAATTGGGGAGTCAGACATTATATTCAAAGGCAACAAACCGCTGTAATTTTAGTTACACCAATTAGTTATGATTCCGAAATGAACAGTTCAATTGAAGATCAAGACAAATTTGATGGTCGACAACAAAAACAGAAGAAACAGCGCAAGAACGCATTTAATCTATCAATCCGGTGGGAGAGAAGAGAAATAAAGGATACAAATAAGCATGTATGTCGAGCAGGGTTTCTTATAATGCGATTTGCAACAGATACTAGATATTTTTAATGTAAATTGCTAAAGCATCCGTCCCTTACAATTAGTATAATTTTCTAATTCATAATGATAAGTGATCACTGTTTAGTAAATCAGCAATAAAAATATC